CGAATCATAATTACAGTTATAAATGTCATACATTATAATTCAACTGAAAAACTTGGGTCTGACTCTGCAAATCTGTGTATCTCACGTGAGACTAGTTTCAGTGACTACTAATACAAGAACATGAGAACAGATGAACGTAATAAGTAAAATGGTCACATCTATACTCTTTTTTTATAAAGTGTTTGATGTAAGACATACAAAGTGTAAACGTGAACCTAAGCACGAGGATCCCTGGCATTTCATAAATAACTACTTAAAATTTAAGATATTAATAAAAGAAAATTGACGAATCAGGAGCGCAACATTTTTAGACGACCTCTGTTAGCGCGAGATCTTATCGAAAATAGCCGAAACGCGATTGTTTCTTAGCAACAGCCCAAGTAGAACAACGTTATCTTAAAGTATTCCATTTTACTATATAAAATTAGGTCAGGATAACTTTATTTTCGGTAAAAAAATTAAGTTTCTGTTTACTAAAAAGGTTATCTAAGCCGCCCGAAAGATAATTTTTAATATCCAAAAAGATATCATTTAGATATAAAAGTATCAAGTTGGTACATGGATACAAATTAAATATATACCAAATGATAACTGTAAATGAACTAGCTATTAACCAATTAAACTATAAACTTATTTAATCGATGCTATATTAATGGAGACGAATTATTGATATTGACTTGTTATCTTATAGATATGTTCCAAAAGTTAACTTCAAGAACGTTAACCAATAGGCAAACTGTTCAACTTGGGAGGTTTGCGATATGTCAAAAAGCAAATATTATCGCACCATTCGTATCCTTATTCCGCCTTAAAAATCTAATCTACAATGTGCTCTTTGTTTCCTGTTTTCAGCTTTTCATCTCTTGCGTTTTTGCTTCTTGATATACTGTTCTACCGACAATTGTGCTTTTTGTCACGTGTCTTTTCTGGAGTTCATCAACTTTATTAAAAACGACAATAACAAGAAATACAAAAGGCCAGTAAAGTTAAATGATCAGCCTGTTATCTAACCAAAACGATTTATTCTGATTGGTTCACGCGAAATGACACTTTTCCTCAGAGCAAACAAATCGCACACGACGATTCCTTGGTTTTAGGCGACAAGAAAAGCATAAACAATGAAACCAGACGCAAAGAGCACATTGTACACTGAGAGAAGAATTTAATAAATATTATCAAAATTTGGTTACTATTACTAAATGGTAGAAGTAAATATAGCGGGCCAAAGCTATGGCAATACTTATTAATTAATTTAGTTCTGTAAAATAAATTATTTATTTGACAAAAGTAAAATTTATTTGCTTCCAGAATATATTTGGTAAATAAAACTTATTGAATAGTTGAGCAAAATAAGCGATTTTGTAGTAGTTACAAAATTTTTGGTAGGTTCAACCAACCATCTGTAATAATAGATATTGAAACGATGTAATAGCTGCAAATGAATGAATTTTTCGTTATGCTGCAACAAAACATACTTATATTGGTAACAAAATAGAATTCGTACTTACTGAATCTTTTATTACATGGGATATAACAATTTCATAACAATTATCAAATAACTGTTCATAACTGTAATATATTTCATATTAAATATTTAATATTAAGTAACTATTACTAAATTATTTAATTGATGTTACTGTGAATGCAATTACATCATACTCCCGATTTATTAAATATTTGGTAATTATTATCATATTTAGTATTAGTTACTAAGGATTCAACGAATTTCTGTAACTAAATGCAGTTTGTTATAGTTACTAGTCTTTTCTCTCAGTGTAGATTAGATTTAACTGTCAACCGATATCCATCTATGTTAAGAGGCAGTCGCGTTTCAGCCATTTTTATGAAATCTTGTACTTATAGAGTCCGTCCCACAACATCGTGCGATTTGTTAATCTTTTTTCATTAACATCTCAAAATATGACAGTTTACAGAATGCCAGAGCTCCACGTGCTCAGATTAACGTGCTCTCTTTCACACGTGGTTTTGTATGTCTCGCGTATATTTCCCGGTTTTGTCATTTTTGTCACATTTCATTATCATTTTTATGCAACTAGAGATGTCGAGCGGAATTTTTAAGGCGGGAGTTTAGTGCGATCTCCGCATGGTCCGACAACGTGCACCCGTTTCTCTCTCTTTCTCGCCGGCACGAGCACCGCATTCTTAGTCTTCGCAGTTCTACAAAAAGACCACGAAACTCGGCGACGGCGGCGGCCGATGCCCGGCGCTCACAAAAGCGTTAGCAAAGCGTCGCGCAAACTTTTACTTGGAACTGCTTACTTCGTTGCCGTTACAATGACCGTGCACCTGCTACAGTTTGCCACGCTGAATAACGATACCACTTAACTGTATCGAATTACGGTTTGACGTACAAATTGCAATAAGGGTATCTCGATTCTTCAAATACACGTGTCGACATTAAAGGGAAGAACAGAGCCGAATATCGTTCCCGCACTTAATATCGCTCGTCACGACTCGTATACGTGTATATGTGTACTAAAGCACATGGCGGATACACGGAGATCTGGCTGGAGATAAATATGGGTATAATAAAGTCTTGCATATACTTATTTTCGAGGCAAAATCTCTAGGCTTCCCGATAAGTTCCGCCCAACGATTTTGCCACCCAAGGACGAAACGAGGAAAGAACTGGTTTCTCAGTGCGCATCAAACTCGTTTCCCAGCGACGCACCGCGCGCCCGCGGAATTTCAGCATTTTCGACGGAAAACGCGACGATAAAGCAATTTTACAACGCCACCGTCGAATCCACGTAATTAAGGTGAATGAAAATTCGAGCGCGAGACGCACACCCTCTCGGACTGCATTTAAATTAATTATTTCGCGAAATTTGCTCTTCCCTCGGCGTGTTACGCCGTCACGCAATTGCTATCGCGCGCGAAGGGATGACGGCCACCAATTAAAAATACCAAAGTCCCCAATTAGTCCCGCTGGCTTTTCCAAGCACGTTAAAGAGGTCTCGCTGACACAGCCGCAGCGGAAAAACACTCATTATGCGCCCGTAAGAAAACGGTGCGCGACCGTTGTCGAAGGGAGGGGGGGGGAGGCGAGGGGAGTGACGATTTCCCGCGTCTTTATTCTCGCCTCGCTGCACAATTGAGGAATTCCTTTGAGCCCCCTTCCTTCCACGAATCACCGAGGCTCGATATACACGACGCAACGAGAGGCTGGGCGTCGTCGTCGTCGGTTTGTTGACACTGCGCGTGTTGCCGGATACCCCGTGCACATACACACATCCAACATCGACGCCAACACGCAAACGTCCGAGGGTTACACCACACCGAGACGGCAATATCGAAATATTGTAGCGCCGTTACGCGCCCGTATCCGCGAAAAAGTCAAAACACCTTCGCTCGAAGTCGAACAATAGCCGCACCGACGTGTGGCATTAAAGCTAAATTAAAGCCGGATAGTATTGTATTGTGTGGCAGGCGGCTACTTGAATTATCTGCCGCGGTGTCTCTCTACGCGCAAGCCACAATAGCACATGTCTACGAGTGGATTATACGAATTATATCCTCTTGCATGCAAATGCCGCATAATCTACGTGAAAAGCGATTTATAACGCCCGCTCGATTCATTGTCACTTTTGTCGTTTTTGCAGCACAAAGTCTCGTTATTGCATCTAAAGAGGTTGAATTTAATCTACGATTATTTCCCTCCTCGCACATTGAGATTGTTTCCTCGCGTGTCGAAGCGGAGTCGGTCGGACATTTCTCGACGCGATATGTCACATCATCACGCGCGACGTACGAAAATTCTGTCGACTTTCTCGAGGCGGGTGAAACTGTCGGGTGGCTCGCGTTTCCTTCCTCTTTGCGCGAGGATCACATCGATCAAGAAATTTGTCGGTATAAAGTGAACTGCCTCTGCGGCGCGCGACTCCATCGCGAATAATAGCTCCAACACACCGCTCCTTCTTTATTACGGCGCATAAAGAGACAATTTAAACGAGATTCGACATGGGAGTTGCGCGCGCACGTCCGACCTGGCGCAGAAAGCGTAGAGTCAAATAAAAAAATCGCGCCGAACGATGTAAACGAGTTTGCGTGCAGCGCGGCGTACTGAAATGGACCGCGTGGAAAATATGCGCGCGGATTTTTATCGCAACGCGCGCGTGCAAACCAAATTTAGATCGGAACGAACGGCGCATTTCAGTTTCTCACGCCTTCGCGTGAAAAAGCGACGGAAATGAAACGGCGAGCGAAGTCGAGCAAATCGCTGGCCACTCGGACTCGGAATCGTGCTCCTTCATGCGGAGCGATTGCAACGACTAATAAAAGGACATCGCATCGCGACAATGTCTCTCTTCCTATCTCTATCTCTCTCTGTTTTGTAACTTTCTGCGACTCGCCGCGGTAAATGTCTAAAGTCGACATTGTAACTTAATTCGCGAAGTTCCGTTACGTAAATTGAACTTCAAATTAAATGTTTCGACGAAAAAGTGCAACGTAGTTTGTGCTGCCTCTACCGCACGAAAAGCTAAGCTGCAAAAAAAGGGAAAAAGGAGAAGCGCAACGAAAAAATTCCCACTGCCGGTGGCGGAGTTTTACTACGAAACTTTGTGCACCGGACCGCGCGTAGTGCGCGTAGTTTAAATACCGCGCCACGTGCGACGATCGTCGCTTTCGATCACTGGCAGCAATTTTGCGTTTCCAGATTATCGAGATTTCATCCATCACTCGTCCATCGTTTCTCGTCACCGCGACACCCTCTCTTCCTCTTTCTCCCTTACCCGCGCGCGCAACAGATCGCGCGAAGATCGACGAGATTCGGTCGTTATTCCAGGCGGCCATTTTGTTGAGATATTAAATGAAGTGTAACGAGAAAGAAAAATGAAGTGCGAGTATTCCGTCGCACGAATCGCGACGCTGCTGTGACACTCGCGCTTTAAACTTGACACTGTCGTGGGCTCAACGCAGCCCCCCCCCTCCCCCCTCCCCAGAGTCTCGTTCCACGGGAAAGAAGTGACAAAACCAACCTTGTTTAACTGCAATTCCCGCAACGGCGTGGCCGGTGCTACTCCTTTCTCACGGCGGCGTCACTCCACACCACCTCGGGCACCCTGCTTCAGGTAATCCAAATGCGCCGGGTATATCCCACTGTCTCGTCCGAGTCTCACTGACGCGCGCGGAAACACGTTACCGAGGAACCGTGTCACTGCACTCTCCAAAGTTACAACTGCAAACGCGAAACAATCTCCCGGAAACGAAACCGGCTTCACCATTGATGGATTCACTGTCGCGAACGGCACTCGTACTCGACGGTTTTCAGTATGGCGCGGCACAACGCGCGGCGACTCCGCGACAACGCGCGTGCTATGACAACACCGACAGCAGTCCGGAGCTCTGCCTCCACGTGGAAGCGAGCTACCGCTGGGAAACGAACGTCCGTCACGTCGGAACGGCAAGCCGAAACTAGCGCGGCGCGCGGACGCCGAGAAAGGCGAGCCTAGCAGGCCGTTGCTATCCCTTCTCCGACGTTCGCTCCCCCCTCTATCTCTCTCCCTCGCTCCTACGGGTTCACCGCGCGCGCCGCACGGACTCGCACGGACTTGCACGGTCCCTCATTTTCGTCTCGCTCGCTCTTGAGCCTCTTTCTCCTCCCGGTCACCGGTCGTTCTCTCGTTTTTCTCTCTTTCTCTCTCTCTCTCTCTCTCGTCCGTGCCCCTCTGCCTGTAGTCCGTTACCCTTCTGCCCCGTTCCCTACCTGTGCCGACCGTCTGACTCTCTGTTCCACGGCCGACGACGATCCCTTCCCCGCGACCGACCTCTTATGCCGGTACGACCGATCCCTTTTCCCTTTTTCCAAGCGCGGCGCTCGTAATCCGGTGTGAACGTTTACCACGTGCACCGTGCCCCCGTGGTTTCTCCGCATTCGGCCCACGTAGCCCCCTTGGCGTTGTGCACCGTTGCACTCGATGCACGCAAGTTCGGCCGCTTCTTCTCCCGTTCTTCCCTTTCTCCCGACGGCGGCGGCGGCGGCACCGCGTTACGATGCGTTTCGCCAGTCCGCAATCAACGCCCCACGCTCGCGAGCAGCCGCAAAAAAAGACCGCGAGGTGGGATTTAAATCCAGCGCGTTCCTGTTTTGTCGGAGCACACGGAAGCGCGGCGCCGAAAGAGAGCCGAGCGATAATAGGGGAGCGCCGATAAACTCGCCGAGTGGATACTCGGCCGTTAATCCGTGTCGAAGCGGCGATGAGTTTTTGTCAGCCGATATTTAGCGCGACGTAGATAGAAACGGTTTTAATGGAGCTCCCGCGCGCTGCTCGCTTCATAAATATATGAAGACTCCGCGGCGGTCACACACACACGGTAAGTTTTGCACACTAGATGCTGGAAAAATTGATGTCCGTATCCAAAGGGGTAAATACACGGGGATTCTGTTCGGTGGGTGAAAAGTTTCTGTGCAGATCCCGCACGTAAGCTTCTTACATTTACACTCATTATATTCATCAAGATACCTCGTAACGTACACGACTCGTAATAACGCAGTGTATAACGGTACGGCAGGATGTGTGTATTTTTCCGACAACGCGAGGATATACGGCTGCCTTTGAGCGGCTTATTATGTTTGTGGATTATACCAGAGGACTAAAATCATCGCGATAACCGTTGAACAACGATGCTTCATAAAGCGATTAATAATTGCGCGGTGAGTAGAGCGTCGTGCACTGTTTTTCGGTAATCAAGCGTGAAAAACAACGGGTAATCGTGCGTGCAGCGCGTACGAAAGTTTACGCTTTGTTCTGCTTTCAATGCGTCTGTATCGATCAAAGTGCAGGTAGAACGTATCACGGAAAGTCCCGACGGAGCGTTTCTCGAAACGGTGCGAGCCGCCTCCGCGATGCGCTCGTTAGTCCTTCGTTAGCCGCGCGGACTACAGGCGTAATTCGAAGGCTGTATCTAGTACATATCTAATATGTAGATAGCCATATCTGTAGTATCTATATGACATGTGTAACACATATGTGTATGAGGTATCTGACGCAAGACACGACAATACACGTGACACAGGATTAGGATAGACAGATAGATTAGGTAGATTAGATCAAACTAAACCTAAAATTTCTCCATCATTTTGCAAGCTACGTAAAATTTTGAATTACTGATTAAAGAAGATTGGCGAATTTAATTAATAATGTAAAGATCTATGTTATAATCTAAATGGTAGATGCTTCTTTTTTTTAGTTTTCTAATGTACAAGTACGCAGCAAAAATCGTACTTATTATCACACCATACATCGCGTAATAATTCTCCAATCTTCTCTAATTAATAACTTACAATTTTATATTTTTACATATTTTACGCAAATTCATAATAAGCATTACACTTATTTAAAATATATTCTGAATTCTACACAGAGAGAACGATTTATTGAATCAAATAAATGTTTCTTTGAAATAGTCCAAACAATTATTTGATTGACACGACAAAAATATTTTTTTGGAATTAAACCGCAAATAAATATTTTTATTGCGTCAAACAAAATTTTGTTCAATCAATCAAAAAATTCGTTTGGACTATTCCAAAGAAGTGTTTATTTGATTCAACTAAATCGTTCTCTTTGTATAATAAGTCTAACAGTTCAATCAAGAATATTCGTTAAAAATTCGGTTTACTTACTATAAAGTTTTATAATATTTTTGGAAAGAGAATTTTCCTTTTGACACTACATGATATTGAGTTTTTTTTACAATTTATATTGAGTATATTTTAAGACTATATTTTAAAACTATTATCAAGAATATATTTTTTTATAGGTAATTATTACTAAAAGAAAGAAAGAAAATTGAGTAATCGCTTTTCTTAATAGTTATTAATATATTTTAAATATTTTTTTTGTGTGTACAGTTGTAAACCAAGTAATATAAAACATGCACTAACCTACTAAAGAATTAAAAGAACTTTGCATATTTTTATATGGATTTTAAATGCTTCGCGGTTATTAACGAGACTTAGCTAAAATGAAAGATTAAAGGATCAAAATATTCCATAAACGTAGCTGTCTAAGTCGACGCTGTTCAGATATACACTACTTGAAACATTGGAAAAATATACTAAATGTTATTTGTTATTTAGTCTCTCTGCGGTCACGGCAACTACCCATGGTGTATAACGGTGTTAATAACTAACATAAATAACTATTTTGAAATACTAACTCAAAGTGCTCTTCTACTATTATGCTCTTATTGACCCAACTAAGTCTCTGGATGTGAATTATGCGGTCATATCGAACAAGTTTTTAGAGTACCTGCAGAAAGGCAAATAGTATTTTTGTTTCGTACACACAAAAAATGAATCCTTAAAGAAATGCAAATATGCGTTGATCCAAGAATATTTTGTCCTTAAAACTACATCAAGTATAAGCAGTTTCCGATTAAAAATAAATTATCTTTAAAACGCGGAGCATGCAAATCATATACGAAAAAAACTTGATTGAATTAATCAGAATTCAGAATATATCAACTAGATTGTTTCGTAAAATGTTAGTGTATGATTATTTTATTTGAAATTTAATTTATTTGAGATATTATATTGTGCATTTGGAGAACTTGTATCCTGATGGAACTTGAACCTAGCATCCTCTGGAGTCATCTGTCTGCACTCTACGCTATTTTATTTAGTTGATGAATTCGTTATATATTGTCTGTCTATATTGTAATCAACGTGGAATATCAGAGTATATGATTATACATTGTAAAAAATCTCGCATACACAATACGTAAACAAATTATTTTCCAATTTTCTCTAATTAATAACTTACAATTTTATATTTTTACGTATTTTACGCAAATTCATAATAAGCATTACACTTATTTAAAATATATTCTGAATTCTACACAGAGAGAACGATTTATTGAATCAAATAAATGTTTCTTTGAAATAGTCCAAACAATTATTTGATTGACACGATAAAAATATTTCTTTGGAATTAAACCGCAAATAAATATTTTTGTTGCGTCAAACAAAATTTTGTTCAATCAATCAAAAAATTCGTTTGGACTATTCCAAAGAAGTGTTTATTTGATTCAACCATGATTTGAATCGTTCTCTCTGTATAGTAAGTCTAACTATACAGAGTAAGTTCCAAAAAGTCCACTCTAAATTTTGTGTCGAAAATAACTCATTTATACGTTAATTTGTGTTATTTATATTATATAGTAGACTAGTACATAATATAAATAATACATAAATGAACATATGAATGAGTTATTTTCGACATAAAATTTAGAGTCGACTTTTTGCAACATTTGTTTACGTACTATGTACGCAAGATTTTGTACAGTGTAGTAACCAGAAATTCTGTTCAAATCTTGATTAACCAAACATGTCATGTTAATCCAACTAAAGTTATTTTTTTCCGTGTAGTTGATGTGCGCACATGTACACGGTTCTCGTTTGTGTGCATTACACCCTCTACTACGGTTTGTGTGTTGCGCGTTTCTCATGTGATTTTGCAATATTTTATGCACTGTATTTTCTTTGCTACCTTTTGATTAAATATCTTCTTGAAGGTAGAATGGTTAAATAATCTTAAAAATCTAATAATATGTAGATATGCAAAAAAATACGGTAAAATATAAAAGATTCAACATCACGATTATTTTTCGAATACCGTGTGTTAGTGTGAGTCTATTGGTGCGTAGGATATGTTTATAAACACATGTCTAACACAGGCAGTCTCAGCTAAAAATATAAACATGTCAAAGCGCGAAAAACGATTATTTTTATGGATTTTTAAACATTATGTAAGAATGATTGATAATCTTTTGCTGAAGTGTCAAAGCTGTGTATGTGTGTGTATCACAAATCATATTTATAAACATTTAGCGCAGATTTGTAACTTCTTCATGTTGTATTAAACATTAATTAACATAACTTTCTAGCAATATTGTTGCGAAGCAACATACGTTAATACGATTATCGACGATCATAATTATAACGTTAAATGAGATCCGGTGGCTGGCGAAACGAACAAACGAATATCGCCGCTTTGTGAGTCCTTTATAGAGCATAAATTTTCAGGATGCACGCTAATTGACTCGTATATCTCGCTCATACAGTAAATTACATACATACCCGCGCGCGCTATCGTATCCTTTTACATCTGCGAACATTTACGTTATAATAACGGTACTTTGCATGAGATATGAACGTCGCGTATCTTAACGGTGTCGAGGATCGGAAGAGAAGTTTCACGAAGGGTAACGCGACGGTTACCTGTCGTCGAGTTAACGTTCATATCCACGTACGTGTCAAAGATGCAGGTGCCATTGAGAACGCTAAATTGCATCCACGTCCGGACAAACGTACGACCGCAGTCTTGTTTGCTCCGGTAGTTGCCGGTGACTGAGCTAACGGAGCCGGTTATGTAGCAGGAATTCACAGAAAGGGACAAGGTTCCTTAGTCTTCTATTCCCCT